CTCCCTGTCCCCGCCCCCCAGCAGGGAGGGCCGGCCTCTCCCACGGCGGCCTGCACCGCGCCAGCCCCGCCCACCGTGCTGCCCTCCGGCCCTTCCGGTCCCCGCCTCTCTCCTCTCCCGCCAGAGCCTCGGCGCCCGCCTTTGTTCCCCTCAGCCTGCCTTCTAGGCTGACGGCCGGCCGGTCCCGCCGCTGGGGTGCGGGGGACCCCGCCTCCTGTCCTCCGTGAGGCAGGGCGAGGGGCTCTGGGGCCCCACCCCCTTCCCCTGCACCCCTCCAGCCCGAGAGGAGGCGGAGCGAAGCCCCTCGCCCTTCCCCACCCATGTCCCGCCTCCTCCGTCCTCCTTCTCGCCTTCGCGCCTCCCTGTCAGTCGTGCCCACCCGGTCCCCCTACTCGCGACTTCCCCAGACTCCCACGGTCCCTCGCTTGCTCTTGCCCAGCCCCCTCCAGGCCGGGAAGGGCCGCAGCCCCTCCCCCTCGCCCTCGGGCCGCTCAGCACCACCCACCCGCCCCGCCCCGCAGGCTTCGGCCAGGAGAACGCGTGGATCGGCCTGAACGACAGAATCGTGGAGCGAGACTTCCAGTGGACGGACAACACGGGGCTGGTGAGTGGCTGTCCCTGGCCCCGCCGCTCAGCCGCCTGGGCTCTGCTCCCTGCCTCGGCTTAGCTTACCCTCTTGTGCAAAGCAAGCTCAGGTGGGCGACAGAGGTCCCCAGGCCTCTGAGATGCTGGAGGTTGCCCTGGCTCCACTCTCCGTAGAAGGCTCCCTCTCGCCTCCTGCTCCCCGACCGCCCCTTCCCCGAACCCCCTGCCTGCCGTCCCCTCCCCCACGGCTCTCGCTGGAACCCCAGTTCCTTACCTCATGGTCACCTGCCTCCTGCGGCCCTGACCTGCCTCACCTGGGAGCCATGGGACTCGGAGTGTGTGTGTGTGTTTGTGTTGGAACCCAGGGCCTTGCTCATGCGGATTAAGTGCTCACCACTGAACTACACTCTAGTTCTTTTTACTTTCAGACAGAGTTTTGCTGAGTGGCCCAAGCCAACTTCAAACTTGAGATCCTCCTGCCTCAGCCTCCTGAGTAGCTGGGGTGACTGGCAGGCCCCTGTGCTAAGCTGGACTTCTTTTTTTTGGTACCGGGGATCAAACTCTGGACCTTGCACTTTTGAGGGAAGCGCCAGAACCACTGAGCTAAATCCCAGGCCCCTGGGACTTCTTTTTGACAGACAGGGTCTCATTGTGTTGACCCAGCTTTTCTTTCACTCGTGGGTAAAGCAACCCTCCTGCCTCAGCCTCCTGAGGGATGGGACTACAGGCCACATCATCAAATATGGCTCAGGACTTTGCTTGCAAATATTGAGGTGAAATTTACACATCACAGAACTAACCTTTTTATTTGTTCATTTGGTTTTTTAAGACAGGGTCTTGCTATGTAGCCCAGGGTACCCTGGAATTCTCACCAATCTTCCTGCCTCAGCCTCTGGAGTGCTGGCATTAGTCATGTGCCACCACACCTGGCTAAACTAACCATGTTTTTATTCTTTTTTTTTTATTATTAGTATATGTTTGTAGTACATAATGTACCTTTTTTTTTTTTTTTTTTGGTACAAGGGAACGAACTCAGGTCCTTGC